AAAAAAAAACAAAACAAAACAAAAAAACCCACAAACTGAACAAAAAAACCCCACCAAACCAAAAACCAACCAACCAACCAACCAACCACACACCCCCCCCCCAAACCCCCCAAAACCAAACCAAAACAACAAAACCCCACCACATTAAAATGGAGGGCGTGGTTGAAAGGCCATGAGATCAAGTGGTTCATTGCTGTTTAGAAGTTCCAGATGGAAAGATAACCTTACCAGCTCTGTGGTTTGAAAATTGCCTTGCAAGTTAAGATGTGTAGTCACTTCCCATGCTGATGCAGCATGCAGCACTTCGGTCTATGGGTTCCTGCCAGGCTGTCTGCAAAATGCGTATGATGACACATGACTTTTGAATTGTCTAACTTGGAAAAAACAGATCCCTTCATGTGCTGGCCCAGCCTTCCAGGATGGTGCCTCCTATTCCTCACTCTTACCCGTGCACACATGCTGCTTTCTATTTGTGGCCTTCAGTATCACTAACAGTGGCAGATGGGAGACAGTGCTGAGATGGAGAGACTGTCAGTTTCAGGAAGACAAGGTAGGAGCAACTTAGCTGCAGGAAAGTGTACTTGGTCATGCAGCAAGGGCAGGCTGGGGAAGAAGTATTTCTTAGTTCCATCTGCTTTAGGATTTAGATTGAGCAACGCCAGGCCAGACCACGTGGTGATGAAATGGGCACTCTTCCGTACTTCCTTGTGCTCCACATCGTTGTGTGAAATCCCCTCTTTAACCAGAGCACAGTGGGGTAAATATTATATAGGGAGGTTTTTACACCAGTGATAAATAGCTCCTTACTTAAATATTTGTTACTGGCCTGAGTTTAAAAGCCTCTGTCTCTTCCTGCTGTACTGTCTTATCACGGATTGGTTCTCATTTCCTGAACACAGCTGTTCTGTAAATTTCTAGCTGACAATTTAGTGTAAGAAATCCATGCATTATTTTAAGAGGGCCATTAGTAGGCATCAGTATAATTCACTTGCTGCCTGAAGTGCTGGGGCAGGAAGGCTGTTCTGACCACAGCTAAACCTAGATGATTGCTCCCCAGCTGTCTGTCTCTTGCAGCACTCCTGGTGAGGGGTGACATAACTATGCCTGTGGTTGCTCTTCAGATTTCTTTTGTCAGACTGATGCTTTGTTTTGAGTGTGTGGGTTTTTTAATCTGAAGACGTAACATTTAAGAGTATTCATAGGGTGCCAACGGCTCCCACAGAGGCGAACTGCTGAGGCAAATACCTCCTTCCTTGTTTACTCCTTCCTGTGAAGCTGAACAGGTGGGAACTTCATACTTCACAGGAGGTTCTTTTTCTTGCCTTAGCTCTGGGGACAGAGAAATGCACAGAAGAATGAAACCAACAGTGTTTCCTGCCCTGTTTGTGTTTGTTAGTGTGACCAAGCTGGGGAGGAGGAGGGCCAGTGGGTTGGAGCTTGGCCAAGTGGTTCCTGACTCACCACCCTGGAGCACTTCCACCACGGCTTAGTGTACTTGTGAGAGGGAGGAGAGTGGCACAAGTAGAGACTGGCATGCTCCAGGACAGGGTGCACACGCTCCTCACATGCACCTGTCTGCTCCAGTGGAGCCCCTGTAGATAGCTGTACACACACAGCCGGTGCTGCCTTTCTGATGTGTCCTGCTACTCCTCCTGAGACTTTTAGAGGCTAGAAGTCACATCCAGACAGGAACCTGACCTTTCTCAAGATTGTACCTCTGTCCCTACTTCCCAGGCTGCTGTGTCAGCATGGGCACCTTCAGTTGAGGCGAGGGGCTGTTTGCTTCCAGGCTCAGTGGCCCTTTGGATCTTGAAGATGAGGAGTCTGGTGTAAGGGCTTCATATCCTGGTCCCAGGGGAGGAGGAGGCAGCAGCCTGCACGTCTCAGAAAGACATCTTGCATCACCTTCAAAGCAGTGTCTGGGTGCAAGAAAGAGAGCATGCTGGGGCTGGAAAAGCTGCTGCAGGCAGTACCTGACTGGGGATTGGCAAGCCATGCATGTGCCTATTACAAAGCAGAAGGTCCTGTTTTATGTAAGTCATCCTCCCTGGTTCATCCTTTTTAAGCTTTACATAACATGTATTACAGGGGCATTGCTACTGTGTGCACAGCTATACAGTATGCCAGGCAGTGAAGAACACTCCATATGGCAGCCTACGCTAGCTGATACCATCTTTGACATGGCAAAATGGCTTAATTTCCACCTTGCCTGACTGCATCCGCTTTCCATTCTGCAGATGATTTTGCTTTTCACTTTTAGAATCTTGATTTGTTGGTGAGGAGGGTAGATGTTGGTTAGCAGCTTGCCTTTCATGCGAAACAACATTTTTGGTACTGCGTCTGGCAGGGCTGCACCTCGTTATACATGTAATGCATCAATATGTCATTACTGCTCTTTGAGCTCCAAAAATCCTGGGGCTATGTTTATTTATGCTGCCTTCTGCAGCTCACAGCTACTGCTTAATGAAGTGTAGAGACTGTACAGAGTCCTGCCTTCAGCCATCTCCTTGCTGCCATTGCAGACAGAGAACTGATGTGTGACAGCCTACCAGTAACCTCCTACAGAAATGGGAGGGAGGGTGAATGTTGCACTCCCTTGCATGTGGTGTGGGGAAACTGTGCCCTGCAGGTGAAGTAAGTCCTGGAGAATCTGTGTGGGAATGCAAATAGTAAAGATAGTCTTATGCGGAGGGAGAGAAGATGGACTGTTCCCCACAGAAGGGGGCTGAGAACAGAAGGAAAACTAGAGGGCTTGGGCTGATTCTGGGAGGCAGAGTGCTGGATCCATGTCTGAGAATCAGTTAAAGAGTTTATAAGGGCATCAAAAGGAGCAACAGGGAGTCTTGGAAGTGGGGACAGGATAAGAACAGCTGTAGCCTGTTCTTCATTATAGGGGTGCTGAAGCAGGCCTGCAATTAATGAGGAAGGGAGCAGGCAGTCTAGGATGTGCAGGAGAAAAGAAAACAAAGGTCAGCTAGAAGAGAGTAAAAGGGAAGGGGGAGCTGAAAGTGGAGCCAGCACTCCTCCAACATCAGTACCACTCAGATGGTTTGAGTTTCAGTGGACTTGCTTTCCTCAGTGGTTCCACATCTCCATTGTTAAATGAGGTGTGGAGAGAGCTCTCCTGCAATTGAGAATATAAATAGACTCTGGGTGGAAAATATATCTGTCTGTCTCTCTAGTGAAAGGGCATGGCTACCCAATCAGACAGCTACATACTGAAAGTAGTGGGAGCTGCAGCTATACCCCATACAAGCCAGAACAGGCTTGTGGGTCTTCAGGGTATCTTCTGTTCTCCTCATCAGTTGCTGTGCCCACTTTATAGAGCACAAGTGGTTGTACTGAAGAGTGTGTGCACAGGTATGACTGCCTGCCCAGACTAGCACGCACTGGAGGTTTTGCTGCTTCTAAACACAGAAATCACAGTGAGATGAATGTGCTTCTGAGGCTTAAGCTCAGGAGAGGAGTGTGGGAACCTGCATGTGGAGAATAAACGGTGTATATTATTAGAGCAGCTATTTCAACATTTTGCTAGGTGGATATTGGAAGGGAGGGAAAAGTCCATCCCTCAGGATCACACTCTATGGTCTACAACATGAGTGACCATGGCTGATGATATTGGATTATGCTACAGTAGGAGCTGTGATTCGAGAACAAATAATGCAAAATCTGTGAGGTAATGCTGGAAAGTGAGTTTGGCCAAGTATTAGGGGGTTGAGCTCACAAATCCCCTGTGTTTGGTTGGTGTTCAAAGGCAAGAGTCCCTGCACTTGAGTGGCTCTGGATGGGCACCTATGTAAATTACTTGACTTAACTATGCCATGGCCCAGAGAGTGGGCTTCTGCTATCCTCCAGCATCATCCATTCCAACTCATTATGCAGCCCAGATGTGTTCTGTTGTGGGGACTGCACAAGGCAGTTGTTGAGTTAGGGTATAGGACTCTTATCTGGGTGCATCTAGAGCCTCAGAGAAAAGGCAGCCCATATCTGTGGGGTGCCAACTTGGGAACTTTGTGAAAGTTTGCAAAGAGGTTTTGGTTAATTGTAGCCCCGACAGGGATCTGAAGTGACATAAGCCATAGTGGGTGAATGGAAATTGCTTGTCACCACTGCAAGTTGGAAAGAAATGTTGACAAGGTGCTGGACCCCCTCAGTTGTCCTCGTGTGACATCCATTCAGCTGCCTTCAGAGGAGTGCATGTGGGCACAGGTCCAGCAGTGCAGTGCATATCACAGGCTCCACGTGGTGCCTTCTGCACCTCACAGTGAGGCTCTAGGTCTATATGGCTACACAAGTGCAACTTGAACAGATCACAAGGGCATATTTCCACAAAGGGAGGCTTTTGCAGGGACAGATCAAGTGTGTAGACAACGCTGCAACAGGCAGATGTCTGTTTCTCCTTCTTTTTTTGCTGTCACAGGAGGAAATGGCTTTAGGGGACTGGGATCCTATAACCCCACACATTATCTCTTCTCCTCCATGTATCTCTTCTCATTATGATGTACAGTGGGGAGCTTTGTTACTGGTTTTGGTGTACCAAGGCTAAATTAATGCAACGGCCCTTGCAGAGTGGAAGAGAGAGGAAACCTTCAGTCTCTGTTCTGTGTCTTTAGATGCTGCAGGGCTTAGACCTCACCAGGAAAAAACTACATCATCGTTACCCTGTTCTGCCTGAAGGGACATATATCAGGGCAGTCCCTGCATAAGCACCAGCCTTGGCAGTGCAGGGTTTCAGAAACAGCATGTAGAATAAGGGCTTTAGCTCCCAGCATAAGAACTTAATAAATTGCTGTGGATCAAGTCATTGTAGCAGGGAAAATGAAACGCAACAGGTGGCATACTCACTTGCTTAGCATGGCAATTTCCCTATGTTGGCAGAACTCCACAATGCAGGGGCTTTTGGTGGCCACTTTGACCAAAGCTACACCTTGAATTCCGTTGTCCAGTTCATAGTCTCTCTGTTAGAGCAACAAACAGTAAACAAGCCCTGTCTGAATGGAGGCAGAAACACACTTTTCCTCTCCAGGCCCAGGAAGAAACCCACTTCCTATTTTGAAGAATGAACTCAGACTTGGACAGGCTGCAACTTCCCACCTTCTGTGCTCTCACACACGTATGCTAGAGCTGGAGGTCTTGCTCAGGATAGAGGCAGCTCAAATGCTTGTTTTTCAGCAAGAAATAAGTTTTGCTAGGTCTAATGGAAACGTCTGGAGTGCGTAATCCCAGTTTACCTAGGTGTGTACACCCACTGAACACCAAATGCTGTGCCTTGGCTTCTGGCATCATTCTCCAAATTATGTAATGCATGGATGAGTGTCTTCTGTGGAGGAACAGGAGGAGTAAACATGTGTCTGAGGCTGGCTTATGCCTTACTGCTGGTAACATTTAAACAGTTACATTAGCATCAAACATTTAAATTCCCGTCCCCATCTGGTGGAAATCAGTTATGAAAAACAAAAAAAAGTGGGTGAAAATTCTTTTTGTGACTAGACGGGAACATCATTCCACTATAATAATATATTATTTCAAGGGATTTTTAAAAAGCTCTTTTTATTATAAGCTGCAAGTCTCATAGTGACATGGAAAAACCTCCTTATGTTCTAATAGAGTACAGCTTCCTTCAGCACCCAGCATCTTCATCCACCTGATTGAAGAAGTTGAGTAAACACTTAATCTGCCCCCTGCCAAGCCTTTGCCTGATCCCACATGTGTGTGTCTGAGCCCAGCATGGCCATGTGAGCTTCTTAGTGAATGTAGGAGATTTGGCATATCATCTTCCTTCAGAGAAGTGGAGAGGGCTGATGCTAAAAGTCCTTCCTGGGATACTGTTAAAAACTTCTCTGTTGCTGCTGTGTACTCATTGTATCCCTGTGAGGAGAAAAAACCTAGCTTAAAAATCATTTTCATGTGCCTAATTCTCACACAGTGACATTAAGAAAGAAGATAAGACCATCTCCCCTTATGCTTCCACTTAATGGGGTGGTTTTTATGGTCTCTAGCATGTAAGAAGTACACAGGAAGACTGGGAATAACAAGTAGCAGCGTGTAGGGACACCTTCCTCGGAGGTTACCCAAGCCCTTTTTCAGTTACTTGTGAAAGCCAGAGCTGATGCTGTCTGCAAGGTGCAGGCTGTGAAGAGGAAGCTTGTGATGGCAGAGAGAGAAACCTGAAAAGAGACTGTGGCTGGAGTTATTCTATAGGAAGCAATAGCTAAAGTTTTTGTCACATTTCTGCAAACTTTATTATTTTGAGTATTCAGCAGTGGTGAGATCATCTAACAGTGGAATAGCTGCATCTACATTAGTAAAACCTGTTCTCAGGTTAGGCCACTCATTTTCAAAAAGCACAAGTTTCAGGTAGTACCCTTAGTTTTTTATTGTGATCATGATCTCAGGGCTTGATTTGTGGATCAAAGCTAGTCCCGTCCTTCCCAGAGGAAACCTGAAGCAGACAGCAACTTTATGAAACCAGTGCCTAAAACAAGGTTTAGGGCAATATTTTCAGATACTGCACTGGATGGAAAAGATGGATAGCTATGAAAGTACCCTCTTATGTTTCCCTGTTATGTGTTCTCTTATATTGAATAATGCACATTTCTATGGATTTCCTAACCATTTGGTGTGTGTAGGACAGCATGAAATAATGTCTCTCTTGGCTGACACATAGCAAAGCTGTACTTAAAAAGCCACATGCAGGGGTTACCAATGCAACCATAAATACAAGGTTAAGTTTAAGAGGCTCTTAGTTGCAGAGAGGATACAGCAGCCTTTGGGGTTGTGTTGCGGTTTTTTTGCCAACAAAGAAGGAATGCTTATGGTATACATCAGGTAGGTAAGTGCATCAGGGGCCGTCATTTTCAACCTGGGGGCAGAAAAATGTACTGACTTCTACTTCTGCCAGCTCCTAAAGAAAAGACTAGGGGATTGGGGGTGAGGTAGTGTATTGGATAGACTGGCCTAGGCTAAGATAATGATGATATTGGTGGTAAAATAGTCCTAGGATAACTGCAGACCCTGGGGTTTTGAATTTTTATTACCAGGTTAACATCTTAATTTCAAGGAGAGACTAAGATAGCGAGCCCCTTCACAGCTCAGACAGTTTGAGCAGATGCTGACTTTCTGTTCTGGTGTGGTAGTTCATGCTTGCTCATCTTTGCTCTCTACTCTGCAGTTGTGGTTGACGTTTGCTCCTGTGGCTGATAAGACAGCTGCCTACTTCCACATTTCCTTGGAGATGGTCAACTGGCTCTCAATAGTGTACCTCCTCATCTCAATCCCATTTGGTCTGGTGGCAACATGGATTCTTGACACCGTGGGGCTCAGATGTGCTGTGAGTTGAACTGTTCTATTTCCCTGAGTGTGTTTTACCTTGAGATAGCAGTAGCTGCACAAAACACTAACATGCATACCAGTAATGAGAATTTTGCCAAATGCTGCAGAGGATAAGGATGTCAGAAGCTCTGTGCTCATTCTGTAATAGCTGTCACATCACCACAAGCTGGGGAGTGGTAGGAAAAGTCAGAATAATGTTGCATCTTTACTTGCCTTTTCCTGCTTCTGCATTTGTTGTTTTAGCAAACTGACTGGGACAGAGGCTGTGAGCTGACTCTGTGAACACCTTGCCAGTTTAAGGACCAGCAGAGCAGGGTGCAAGCAGAGAAGCCCTGTCAACTCAGAGTTTGGTCTGTGCTAAGCCAGCTCAGGATCTCTACACATTCTTCCTGAAAGCAAGAGTGTTGTGTAATGTGGCACTAAAACACAGGCATTGTAGTGGTGCAGAAGAGCACTTGCAGAATCTGTGTGCTGGATGACTCATTGCCACGATCTTTGGATTGTCACAGGAACATACGGGTGATGGCACAGACTTGCAAACAGAGTGTAGTTAGTGAACTTTGGATTTCTCATCAATTCCATGGCTGTGTCTGCTGCCTTGCATAAGCTATGTTGTGGTGTAGTTCTCACTTGGGGTCAGGACAGGCACTTTGCTCCTTAAGGAGTTGGGTGACTCACATAGTGTTGCATAAGGAGCATCTTGTGGTGACCAGGAGTGGGGGCGGTCTGCAGGCAACACCCAGTGTCCCTGTAGTGCATCTGAAACCCTGTTCATGCTACTCTGTTCTGCCCTTCAGGCTTCAGCACACAACCCCTGGCTGTTTTTGCTTGCTGCAGGTGATCCTGAGTGCATGGCTGAACATGATGGGTAGCATCATCCGGATGTTCAGCGTCCTGAAGTTCCTGAGCTTGGGTTCCCAGAGTTACTGGTACCTGTATATTGGGCAGTGCCTCTGTGCACTGGCACAGCCCCTTATCATCTTTTCACCAACAAAAGTGGCAGCCCTATGGTTCCCTGACCACCAGAGAGCGACAGCAAATATGATTGCATCAATGTGTAAGTGATAGCTGCAAAGTAATGTTCTTGCCTCCCAGAACTTGCCAGCATTTGCTTGCCTTTCAGAGGCAGCAGACAGAGGAAAACATCTATACTACAACCATTTGGCCCTGCAAATACAAGTCTGCCAGAGAGTCTCGTGGCCACGTGCAATAAGCCAGTGCCTTCAAGGCATTTCTGTGCCAGGGAGCAAGAAGTGGGCCATAGCTCTATCCAGATGCAAAGTTCAAAGTTAAGCCACCCAGACTTCCAGCTTTATTCCTCTCTGCCATGATGAGGTGATCATCTTTGCCTACATATCATAGAGGTTGATGACAGCCCTCAGTGTTACTAAATCTAAAGTCTGTAGTGACCTTAATTCTATAGCTTCATAGGGAGGTGTCCAACTTACATGTACTGCCAGCAGACACAATTGCCAAATTCTGTAACCTGAGAGAGGTGAGGCTTCTGCAGCAATTTTGTCCACCAGTTTGTCCAGTGGCAAGGCTGAGCACGTATTCCTAATCGGTATGTATATAAACACAGTTAAAATATACTCAGCTGGCCACACAAACATGTTGTGGATGCTAAATCCTGCAGAACTACCCATGCATAAACCACATCTTCCTCACAGAGTGCTTGGAGGCTGGGAAACTGGAGTGGAGGCACCAGATACCCTTGCTCTAGTATCATTCCTGTCTTGGCTTATGCTAGAGTCAGGGCACTCCACTTGACAGACCTGTGTCCTCTCTCCATGTCACATTTTCCAGCAGTGAGAAGAAATCTCTAAAGACTTTAGAGGTGCCCCAGAAACTGGGCTGGTGCACTGAGTCTAGCTGGGAAATCTCACAGGGTGTGGGGATTCCCACCTGCCCTTCCTTCAAAACAGCCAACAGTTGCCTTCCCTTCCCCACTGCCTTGGAGAGGGGAAGAGGTAGACATGGGGGAAAGGGCAGTATAGGAGCTCCCCTATGCAGCCCTGCACATGCTGCTGCAAACCCAGAGCACAGACATTATTCTTTAGCAAGAATAGCTTTATTGTGTCAGAACAAATACATTCTTTTAACACTGCCTTTTCTATAATAGGGTGTACATGATGGTTCACCTTGTTTCCAAGGGCTGAGCTAGACCTTCCCTACTGGAGAAGGAATGTGTGGTGCAATACAAGTACAATGCTACCAGGGATCACTGGACACCTGGTGCTTCACTGTCCTCAAGGTCCCCAGCCCGCAGGCAGCTTGCTCTTTTTCAGTGAAAGAGCAGCCAGAACAGCCAAGGAGCATTTATTCCACATAGTGTCCTCAGACCTTACAGACCCAAATGGAATGGGAAAGAATAAAACTGAAGAGCAAGAAATAGTGGAAATCCAAGACCTGAAGCTATTCAGTCTGTGGCATGTTGAAAAATTAGTGTGAGGACCGAATGGGCCCTGATTATAATCTGCTGCAATACTTGCATGTTGCTGTGTGGAGAGCTCCTATTAATAATGTATGGCTACACCCATTACTATATTCTGTGCAAAATCAGGATTTCATTTCAAGAAAGTTGAAATACTGCCTAGAAGGAGTACCTGTCACAGCCCCAGTCATTGACTGTGGTGGTTAGTTACCTCACTGAAAAATGTCTATATGTTGCGTGTCATCTTAAGGCTCTTTAACCCCAGCTATTCAGTCTTGTTGCACCTGTTTGTCAGGTAGTTATGGACAGAGTGATCTCTTCTCTGCTTTGTCTAGAAAGACTGAACGGTTCCAACCCAGTCACTTTTCAGGCACATTTTCCTTTTGCCTCTTCCCACATGCCTCCATGTCTGCCTGTTGCTCACATGAGCTTTTTCTCTCAGCTTACTCCAGTTTATCCATACCCATTTCCTGTGCTAATGATGGAGCAGCATTTGGCATTGCTATACTGCCTGTATCAGTGCTGCAACCAGAAACTGGCCCTACAGCCTCCTACTGGTGTCCCCACAGCTCCTACCAGTGCTTCTGTGTAGTCTTCCCTGTGCTTGTGCACAGACAAAAATGGACCCTGCACCCAGGATCCTGCTGAGCAGCTGCAATCAGTGTGACTCAGCTGTGCTTTTGAATATTTATTATATTTTGGTCCTCCCCATCATTTGCAGAGACTTACTCACAGAGAAGAAGTACAGGGCCAACATCTGATCCCCTGTGAAGACCATGAGAAATTCTCTGTCAGGAGTAGAAAGACCTTTTTTGAGTCCACTGAAGTGATCTTCTTAGTTCACTGTAGTCTGTCAGCATGTCATTTTCTGCACCCTGCAGAGTTTTAGTGCATCAACATCACTGCACACAAAAGACAGGCCCCGTTGCTGAGTATTGCAAGCTAATCCACAAGGACCTCTGGACCATAATGTACAGCTCATTAACGCCAGTGATCTCCTTTCCATTCTTAGTGTAGACTCATATAATTATCTTGCTAGGATGAGAAGGTAGCTGAAACTCTGTAATTACTCATATAGCCTCACTTAGACTTTTAAAATTTAGCCCAATGCTTACATTTCCACCCGTCACATATACATTTTGGAACTGCTTCAGCATGCAAATAATTCATGGAAACACCTGCATTAGTTTTCAGGCAGTCCCCTACAATGCCCAGGTGCATTTTGCCACAATGGAGAAGCTTCAGTCCATCTCCCTGGAAACTGTTGTTTAATTATGTCCATGTATTTAGAAGCAGGTAACATTTCACCAGGATCGTAAGCTACTACTTTCTCAAGTACAGCAATGCTACAGTTGTTGTAGCTATAGCACTATTTATGGTGCCTCTGCAGAATCATAGAACAGACAAGGTTGAAAGACACCTCTTGAGATCATCTTGTCCAACCCCCTGCTCAAGCAGGGTGGGCTAGAGCAGGTTGCTCAGGGTCAGTCAGGTTTTTACTGTCTCCACAGATGGATATGTTACAACTTACCTGGACAAGTTGTTTCAGTGTTCAACCACTGGGTGTGGGTAAGACCCACTTCTTGCTCTCCAGCATGGAAAGGCCTGCCTGTCTTTCAGGGCCTTGATGGCACTGGTTTATTGCACATGGCTGTGAGACTCTTGGGCAGAGCTGTGTTTGCCAGATCAGTATAATCTTTGTCTCCCTGATACTGGTGAGCATAGAACTGGACACAATACATGTAGCCTCAGTAATGCCAAATAGAGAGGATCACCTCCAGCTGACAACACTGTGCCTAATGCAGCCCGCCATGGTAGTGATCTTTACCATGGGGTTTTGTTGCTGGCTCATGGTCAAATTGGTGTCCCCCAGGACCCCTACCACTCCCACAGATTCCCTCTGCAGAGCTGCTTTTCACCTGGTCAGCCCCCGGCTGTACTTGCGGGTGGGGTTATTCCTCCCCAGCTGCAGGACCTGACATTTCCTCTTGTTGAAATTCACAACATTCCTCTCTGATTGTTTCTCCAGCCTGTTGAGGTTTCTCTGAATGGCAGTGCAGCCATCTCTTTCAGCAGCTGCTCCTCACAGTGTCACATTGTCTGCACACTGGCTGTGAGTGCTCTCTGCTCTACTGTCCAGGTTTTTTCTTAAGGTTAAACTGTACAGGCCCCAGTGTGAAGCCCTGGGGTGCTCCACAAGTGACTGGCCTCATGCTGGATTTCACACCAGTTATTATAATCCTCTGGGCCTAACTGTTCAATGGACTTCCTGCACACTAACAGAAAAATCAACTTCATTTGTTTGACTCTTTGAAGAACACTGCCTTACAGTTAAAATATTTTCTCCTGTAATTTTGGATGTTCCTAAGCTGAGTCCCAGGTGTACTGCTTCACATGCTGCTCAGATCCAGCCCCATAACAGTGTAACCCCCTACTCCAGCACAGACAAGTATCCAAGATTCTCTTCTGCCGTGTAATTTTTAGAGTTGGCAGCAGAAAGCAGCTTATATGCCAAGCTGGGCTTTACAGAGGAGCTGTATTGGCTTAAAGGGTGTCAGGAATGACCTAGTGTCACTTAAGAGAGCTGTCATAGGGCTATTCTGCTTTCCATGCCCTTTTGGCAAAGAAGACTAATGGCTTCCTGGTGACCATTGGGAATAGCATTGTCAGCATCTTGAGGGAGGTCCCTGTACATATCTGAAGAGCTGTGTCCAGTTCTAGGATCCTCAGTACAAGAACACATACATGAATATGTCCATACATATAATTGTAAGTCCAATTAAGAGCCACTAAGGTAGCTAGGGGAGTGGAGCATCTGTCATGCCAGCTGGGGCTAAGAGAGCTGTGTCTGTTCACCCTTGAGAAGGATCAGGGGGATCTTGCTCATATGTATACATGCCTAATGGCATAGGAGGAGCAAAGAAGGGAAAGCATCTCTATTTGTTACTGCTGTCATATAACATCAAGACAGATTACATGGATTCATTCATCCTTATTTTGTCTGTTCAGTTTAGTGTTTACTGAGGCAGCCGTGTGAGGACACCATAATTCATAGATGAAACCCAGTTTTCAGGAGCTAGGATTTGTAGAGAAACAGATTTGTAGAATGGGCTTCATGGGGGTGAAGGAGCAGATGTGGCAACAGTGAGACCACAGTCAACTTCTCCAAATGTTTGCCTATTGATTTCTCCCTATATGTGCCTGGTTCTGTTGTTACTCACCCATTTGCTGCGCACCACAGCTCTGGTGCTGACTGGCAGTGGGTGTGAACACATGGTTCTGACTGCATGCATTAGAAAATTGTCTCTCTGTTTCCTTCCAGCGAATCCTTTGGGTATTTTTATAGCGAACATGCTGTCACCTGCACTAGTTCCTGAAGGAAAGCACATCCCATTGATGGTAAATGAAAATTGCTTTAATCACCCTGCTGGGCTGATTTGGGACCAGCTGATTTATTTATTTGGAGGCATTGGAGCTGAAAAGACCGGTAACTTGTCTTTACTTTGTGTTATGTAGCTAGGTGTCTATGCCATCCCAGCAGTCACAGCCTGTGTTCTAGCAACTGTGGGGATTTGTGACAAGGTTCCTCCAACGCCTCCTTCAGCCAGTGCCACTAGCTCCACCTCCCAGCCTTTCTTCACAGGGCTTAAAATGGTAAGTGCTGTAGCACAAAGAGAGACCAGTGCTAGAGTGAGGGATGCAGCCCTGCCAGGCAGGGATGTGCTAAGTAATCTGCTGACAAAGAACTCTGAACTCCACCAAATCCTCCATGGAAAGCCTTCTGAAGGAGACCAGGATCCCTTCCTTTCCCAAGGAGTGGAAGCTGCTCACAGCAGAGCTTCGAGAGATGCTATCTGACCATTCAGCTGTGGGCTGGCTGCTGTTCAGCTAGCTCAAACAGGCATACCTGGGCTCACCCAAGAGGACCACACAACCTGAGCCTTCTGAGCAGATATGTCAACAAGTAGGACAGCACATGGTGAAGTGAGGGAAGACTTTAGGCACTGAAGAGTTCCTTTCTTACTACATGGTTCCCATTTTAACTCGTCCTCTGGTTGAACTGACAGGAGACCCGGACTCCTCTAGTAATTGCAGGGTTTCCCTGTCAACATTTCTAACTGAGTGGTCAGAGCCACAGACCCTCAAGCCTACTGACCAAGCCAGCCCTTTTTTTCCCCTCCACTGCTTTAAATGCTGTGTTATCTTCTTTCTCTAGCTGCTGAGAAACAAGCCGTACATCATCCTGGCACTGTCTTTTGGAGGAGGAATTGCGGTGTTCACTTGCTTTACAGCTCTACTGGAACAGATCCTTTGTGAAAAGGGGTATTCAAATGTGAGTATTCATCTTTTCTTCCCCATTGTCTGCATCTTCTACGATATGATAAAAATTATTTTCCCTGATAAGAAACTCAGAGCAAAATGAAGACAGTTGAATACGGTGCACTGTCTCATATCTTGTTTGCTCATGTTATCTAATATAGATTAAACAGTGCATTAATCCATAGCACAGTCAGTCTCTCAGTATAATGGGGTGATAGGCATTTTCATTACTGCCCATGGCCAGACTGCCATTTACAAATGAAAAAACCCTTACTCCTCAATCACTTTTTAGGAAAAAAAATGTGTTGAGTTTTTTTCTAAGCCACTCCAGAGCACTGATGTCTATGCAGCCTTCTGACAGCTTCCTGAGAATAAGACGGGGCCCAAGTAGGCCCTAGAGTGAAGCTGAAGGCAGGATAATGCAAGCACCTCTTACTCTTTGCACAGTCCTACATAAAGCCAGGGTAGCAGAGGAAGTCACAGGTACTGTGACAGTTTTTCCCCCATCCTTCCCATTGCACTGGCCAGGTGCTGCTTCTACTTGAGCACAATGTGTACACAGCTGGTTCTTCCTGCTCTCTCCCTGCAATACCAAGGAGCTGCCTCAGTTCTTGTGTTTCCCTGCAGACAGGCAGCACTTCAGTGCTCCTGCAGTTATCCCCATGGAGGTCCTCTTAAAACACCTCTCCAGCTGTTATGTATGCACATCTACACATCTGATCTCTGTCGACTTCCTCACAGCTCCCAGGTCTGATACCTGTCTCAGTGCTCCATAGCCAGATCACATTTACACACTCCAATGGCTTTAACCTGGAAGCTTTTTACATTTTGCAGCCTTGCTTCCTGTGTATCATGACACTTCCGTCTGTATGTCACTAGCTTGCTCTGGCTCTTTAGCCCACAGGAGCTATTCCAGATGCCCTTTCCTTCCAATGTGCCCCAAAGCTCCCAGAAACATTTGCCCAAAACTGTTACAGCTTCCCTGCTTTCAAGACTGGTGTCTGCATTTGAATGCTTACAAAGCTGAAGGAGTGGAACAAGCAAAGATAGTTACAGCAGGCAACAGAACATGTGCCCTGTCCTCACTGCTGCATACTGACTGTCTAAGTAGACCCCCTTGCCACAGGCAGGTAGTGTTGCATCTAACATGCTTTGGGTCTGCTAGCCTTGAGGAGGGCATTCTGCCAATGCCAGTCCCTGGTTCTTGGTAAGAAAATGGCCAGGAGCACGAGTATAAATAGAAGCAGATCCCAAGGCAGTTGGACTTGTTACCACCGGTGTGGACAAGGCACATGATTGCCCCTAGAGGACCCAAGAACAGCCTGGACTGGAGCATTTAATGTCAGGGAACTGCTGCTGCTTTTCATGAAGCCTTCCTTGCCAGGTGTGCAGAGACTTGTCATCCTTTGAGACCTTGGGAGTGCTGTGACCCTGCTGTCCCCACACACTTGTCACAGCTCCTAAACCCTGCTGTTTGCTACTCAGCCCTGCGGAGGCATCAGCTATTGCAACAGACAGTGAAGGTTTTCCTACCTCAGTAAGTGGCCCAGTAGCAGCAGGCAGATGGATCAAAACCTCTTTCCTAACTGCTCCAGTTCCTCAGTTACTTGTTTTTCTGCCCTACAGAAATTTGCTGGCCTGAATGGTGCACTGTTCACACTGTGTGGTTTGTTGGGTGCTTTCCTGCTAGGCCTATATGTTGACCGGACGAGGCATTTCATAGAGTCCACCAAGATTTGTTTCTGTCTGAGTGCCCTAGCTGGCATCATGTTCGCTGTGGTGAGTTCTCCCTTGCATTGCATCATACCTGTGGGCTTAGTCCTGGTGCTATCTGATAAATCATCAAATCAACCAAGGTAATTTGATGTCATAGTATTTCTTGAGCCACTTGTTATGCTTTGGGATTATCTCTCTGGGCTAGGAATGTTTTAAATAAAAACCCTTTACTGAGGATTTCACAGTCACTGTGGTGCATGAGACAGATTACTTCATGATATAAACAAATTGGCAGAATTTTACTTCCTTACATTGGGTCACCATGGTTTTTTTACTGGCCAGAAGAGCATTCTTTCCAAAAGTAAATGGAATTGCTGAATATCCATCTTACCAAAATGAACAAGAATGCCACAGTCCCAACACCTGCCTTTAACCATGGTGGCTGCCAGGAGTGTAAGATTAGCAGAAGGGTCCTAGCTATGTGCCTAGTTCTGCAGTAGTTCCTCAAAGAAGACAAGAAAAGGCAGATGCAGAAAAGGGAGAAACTTGAATCCTGCCAGGAGAGGAATGCAGAACCCAGAGACCTTCCACCCATGGGACTGGGGTGCAAGTACTGCACTCACGCACAGCCTCTGCCAGTGGGAGCCATCCTCCCCTCAGGAACCTGAGCAGGAGGCACAGGACTCCTAGCAGTGCAGAGGACCCAGACTGGTGCAGGACTCTGATTTCCCAACAAGCTTGTGCTGTGCAATTCTCCTGTGTGCTGAAAAACCCAGGCTTTCAATACTACTTTGAAAAGACAGAAAAATCCAATGGCTTTCTCGGTGGTGGACAACTTGGCTAAAGCAGACCTGGCATTTTCCCCTTTAGTACTCTGGCGTTCGCTGGGGCAATGGCCTGAGTACAAGTCAGCATCCTTGGGTTCAGATAAGGCACAGAGTAGGTAAGAGGCTGTGGGAGGAGCAACAAGCAAACCTTTCCATCCTCCCCTTCAGTCCTTCCCCTTCATCCCATACAGATGAGCTCTACACATTCAAAGTAGAAAATTGGAAAACACCCATTCAAATCTGCTTGATGCCTTGATGCTTTGAACTCGTATTCCAGACACACAGTTTTCCTTGAGTTTACCAGTTTAGCTGAGCCAGGCCTGCTGCAGCCATGCCAGAACAGACACTTTATGTTCTTCTATGGGAATTTATTACATAGTTAAGGAAGGAGGTACCAGCACTGTGGATGCAGGATTTATGCACTTGACTTCACTAGCATTGGCTGGACAACCCCATGCTTTTTCCTCCAGAGGTAGGGACAGGGTTGTTCTAGGCACTTCACTAAGAGTTTTTTAATGTTTCAGGTGGTGGTTTGTTTGTTTTTTGTTTGGTTTGGGTTTGGTGGGGGTTTTTTTGTTGTTTGGGGGTTTTTTGTTGTTTTTTTTTTATGGTAAAACACCAATGTTGCAAACATTAGACTGAAATGGTAAGGAATTGTTTTCCTTATCAATGAGCTGCAACAACCCAGGGGATTCTCTCATACATAATCCAGTGCAAACACCACTTCTGAAATGTTGGTTTACACTGGGAGAAAGGTGTGTGTTTCTCTTTGTGCAAGAGATATGTTAAGCACTCCTGGTAAGTTACTAATCAGGAAGTCAAGTCATAGTAATATGACCACACCAGTGCTTTTTAGGTAATTCTACTAATCCTCTCTCCCCTGCTTAGATTCAACAGATAAATCTCCATTGTTTAGCCATTTGTTGACTCTAGAGGGCTGGAGGGTAAAAGAAAGATTTCAGGAACAGGTAGGGAAGGTACTGGTGAGAACAGTGAGCCCTTGGGACTTTCTGCAGATTATGGGTGGAGAGACTTTCTGCACAGCCATGCTGACACTGAGACTTAGATGTTGCTTTTCTGCCTGCAGGCTTCCCGGTTCAGACATCAACCCATCATGGTGGCCGTTGCCAGCTCACTCTTTGGTTTCTTCGGTTTTGCCATCTACCCCATTTCCATGGAGCTGGCTGTGGAGTGCTCCTACCCTGTGGGAGAGGGCACATCTACAGGCCTGATTTTTGTTGCAAGGTAAGCAGGCACAATTGAGAGCTGAACCTGGGTTCAAACACACACAGAGGGGTGTGGGTGCAGATGGAGAAAAGCATGGACATCAGTGCTAGCTATCCT